ATCGTGGAAGGACATAGTGAGTAGGGAGAATTATTTTGTTTACTTCAGTGATTGGGAATCTTCTGATTTCCTTAATTAATGCTTTTAAAAATTATTTCATATGCTATTTCTGCACTCCTTACCATACAATTAGTTGGGATATTAATTCTGAAGATCATAGTGATGCCTGTTTTAATGTTATTTTTTTTCCTCTGGGCCAAATTCCAGATAAAGAGTTTTTGTCTTGTTGAATGTTTCCTTCCTTATTGCCATTTTGATATTTATTCCCTTGTGTCATTGCACTAAGAATTGAGTAAGTATTGTGATTTAGAAAGCTCAGCTCTAGAAATGTTTCGCCTGGCTCCAGTGATTCTTATGGTCAGCTTTGTCATTGTGTCCCTGTACTTAGGAACTCCAATTATGTTCCACCTCAATTTACTATTTATGAAGCTCAGTAAGAACCTCAACTAAATTCAAAATGTTGTTAATCTTTAATGGCTTCCTCAGGTTCATGTGAAAGGGGTTGGCGGGAGGGTATTTTAATGTCTCTGGCAGCACTGTTTCATTTGGCTCTTTTCCATTACCTGAATGTCATCTAATTTGTTATATTAATCTTGTAATACAAACTCTAAGTCTAGGTCCCAAGTCAATATTCCTTTCTACATTGTTCTCCCAATTAGGCCAAATATATGACAGTAAGTCAAGTGTCTGAGGGGGAAACAAATCTTATCACTTACTTAAATGTGTCTTGCTTTGAATTGTTCAGGCCTAGAGCCTTAGTGCATTAGAAGGAGGCTACCAGGTGAGTTGTGTTATTATCATCTACCAGACTGACAGAGCATATGTGACCATAACCTCAATTACTGCAGATATCAATATATTTCTTTCTGTAGCAATAGCTCTTGACTTTTCTCCATGTAGCACAGAATAGAGATACAATAGTAGCAGTGGCACACTTGACGGTGATTCTTCCCTAGGATTTGGGAGCTTATCAGAATCTCCAGGGGTACTTATAATTTGAAAAAGTCCCCCAGGTGTGATTCTGATTTGCTTCCTTCTCCTCCTCCTCTGAGAATCACTGTTTCATCCAGAAGCTTCAGCATACATAGGAACATTTGTTGGTATATTGCCCTTGCATTGTTGAACTCCCTAAACCCCATGTCCCCATACTTCTATTTTGAGTGGTCCCCAGTTTCTTCTAATACCATAACTTCTGAAACCAATGTCTACCTGTCACTAAAGGTATAACTACCATTGAAGCAGTCCTACTAGAGTTTAGATTCCTACAAAGCAAAGGTACTCCGTAGCTTATGGCCAGGTTTAATTGTGTGGTTTCTTTAAAAGGGAGCTTTTTGCAAAGACTTAGACTAGAGTCCACGATTTATATTAACACCCCTCCCTGCCAATGTTAGTCCAATATTTTATGATGAAAAATTTCAAATCTATGCCACAGTTGAAAGAATTTCAGGGTGAACACTTCTATATCCACCACCTAGATTCCACAATTAACATTTTAATATACTTACTTAATCATATATCTACTCAAAAGTTTATCCCTCTGTCCATCATTTCACCTTTTTAAAGCATTTCACAGTAAAGTTTAGATATAACTACAGTTCCCCCTAAACACTTAAGCATGCAGATCATTAACTAGAGTTTAATATTTATTTACAGCTTTTTCTTTTGATGAAAAATTTTCATGCAGTGCAAGTGCCCAAATCTAAGTGCTCATTAGCTGACTTTTGACAAATAATATATCTACTAGTGGCCCGGTGCTCGAAATTCATGCACAGAGGGGGGTGTCCCTCAGCCTGGCCTTCACCCTCTCAATCTGGGACCTCTCGAGGGATGTCCGACTGCCGGTTTAGGTCCGATCCCTGGCAATCCAGGACTGCTGGCTCCTAACCGCTCACATGCCTGCCTGCCTGATTGCCCCTAACCAGTCTGCCTGCCAGCCTGCTCACCCCCAACTGCCCCCCTGCCAGCCTGATTACCCACAACTGGCCCCCCCTGCCGGCCTGCTCACCCCCAATTGCCCGCCCCCCGCCAGCCTGATCACCCACAACTGCCCTCCCCTCTTGGCCTCTAACCACCTCTACCTTGGCCCCGCCACCATGGATTTGTCCAGAAGAAAGTCTGGAAGGTCTCCTAGAAGGTCTCCCAGTCTAATTTGCATATTACCCTTTTATTAGTATAGATAGAGGCCTGGTGCACAGTTGGGAGCCAGCTGGTTTGCCTAAAAGGTGTCCTGGATCAGGGTGGGGCTTCCTTTGGGGGGCAGAGCAGCCTGGGCAAGGGCCTGTTGTGGTTTGCAGGCCGGCCATGTCCTCATTGGGGTGGGGGTCCCCATTGGGGGTGGTGGCCACCAGGGTGAGGGGCTGAGGGCTGTTTTCAGGCTGGCCACACCCCCCAGCGAGGACCCTCACCCCGTGGGGGCGTGGCCAGCCTGGGTAAGGGGCTGAGGGCCCTTTTCAGGCCCCTCCCTTGGCAGCTGGCCCAGGCAACCCAAGCCTCCCACGCTCAGGCCGGCTCTGTGGCAGCTGCCCACAGGCCCCTCCTTCAGTGGCCGACCAGGGCAGGCGGGAAGCTTGGCTTCCTCTGTCACCAGGGGCGACCCAAGCCTCCCCACTCCGGCTGGCTCCGTGGCCACCGCCATCTTTGTCCCACTAATTTGTGTACTCACTCCTGATTGGCTGGTGGGCATCGCAAAGTGATGGTCAATTTACATATTTATTTTATTCGTGTAGATACTAGATGCTCTGTGCACAAAATTCATGCACCAGTAGGGTCCCTTGGCCTGACCAGCAATCAGGGCCTATCAGGTTCCCCACCTCCTCGCCTCCTCTTTCCCTCACTCCCTCAGCACCCCACCACCACCGCTGGTTGCCTGCCATATTTCACGCCGTTCCTTGTTGGTCAGTGCACATCATAGCGAGCAATCAAACTCCGTCTCCCAGTCAAACTCCCAAAGGGACAATTTGCATATTAGCCTTTTATTATATAGGATAGTCTAAATCCCTATCAAAAGATAGAAGATTTTAACACCCTCTTTTTTTCTGCCCAGATTATTCCCTCTTGACACTATATAATCTCTGAATTTAAGGTAAGGAAAAAGCTTGTCAGAGCTCTCAGGACAAATAGAGATCAATTTTTAATGATGGATCAGCAGATTTCTCTTCCCCATTGCCTAAAGTACCTTGTGTTTTAAATTGTGTATGAATGGCCCTAGCCAGTTTGGCTCAGTGGATAGAGTGTCAGCCTGCAGATTGAAGGGTCCTGGGTTCGATTCCAGTTAAGGACACATGCCCAGGCTGTGAGCTCGATCCCCAGTAGGGGGGTGCAGGAGGCAGCCAATCAATAATTCTCTCTCATCATTGATGTTTCTATCTCTCTCTCCCTCTCCCTTCCTCTCTGAAATCAATAAAAATATATTAAAAAATAAAATGGCTAAAGCCATAATTTTTTTTAATGTGTATGAATGGTTTAAAACAGGAGTCTGAATGTTTTACTTTTTTACTTTTTAACTAATTATTTTACAAAACACAGTATTGAGGTATAAATACCTTATATCTATTTAGTTAAGTATTTTATAAGGCAAGAGCTCTAGTTCAATAACATGTGAGGAGGGATACATCATCGGAATATAAGTTGGGAAGAGAAAGGAAGTAGATGTGAGATGGCAAAAATCAAAAATACTAATGTAATATAGCATGTATTAATATGTGGTTAATTGATTAATATACGTATTATGTATATCTAACATCATGAGATATCATAGTCTATCCCAACAGTGGCACACCATTTATTCAAGAATACCAGCATATCATAATATGCCTTTAAGAAATACACCTTAATTTCGTCTCAGTATTGGTTTTGGATGTTTGTCCTTTTATAATGCCTTTATACCTGGTAAATATCTCTTGTTTGGCTCCATTTTAGAGTGATACAGCATATTTTAGTTTATACTATATTTAGTTAAAATGTGGTATAGATTTGAAATTATCTGCTTGCATTTTATTAGGATATACATGTAAGTGTATTTCTAATAAAATAAATTCTGGTCCCAAAAGGAGAAGCTGTGACAAAAGTAAATTGTGATATTTCCATAATAAAAAGATACAGCAAACATGCAGACATTTGCATATAGTTTCTGAAATATTGCATACTGGCTTTGTCGGTGCTGGTAAGTCCATTTCAAGGATGTTGCCCTTAGTCCATTAGTTTGGATAATGAGCCCTATAAAGTACATTTATAACTTGTGGCACTGCAAGGAGATGGATTCTAATTTTCATCCTTTTATCTAGACACATTGAAAGAAGGTCAATGGAGGGTTCTGTATGATTCATTGTCCCAACACATATCAGATGACAGAGACCTGATAATGTCCATGCATAATTGTTTTCCTTATTTGGAAACAGCACTTGAAAGAAATCTTTCTATGATCATCCTTTGAAGTAAAGTGGAAACAGATATTAAAAGAAGCTCCAGGCCTTTTGGGGGGGGGGTGTCTAACATATTATCACACATGTGACCAGAGAGCTATTCTTGAACAAAAGAGAAGGCAACATGTAACAGAAAAATAGAAAGTCTTTAGTGGCTTTTACAGTCTGTGAATGATATAGCAAGATATTTAATCAACTTTTATCTTCCCCTTCCCTTAAGTCTGTTAAGAACAAAAAGAGCCTGTTTTCTAAATTAAGGAAAAAGCTTCTATGTTCCTAAACATTAGAAAAACTCATACTGTATACTTGTCCTAACTTTGTCTTACTTACTAATGACATTTAAAATAAATATTTGAGTTTTATCTCACATTTATTTTATAGTTTAAAAGACTCCAGATAGCAATAAAAGTATATCTTCTGTATATAATGTCCATGTTTTTGTAAAAAATGTGAAATTATAGGCAATTTTAAAATCTTCTAAGAAATTGGTTTTAGATTCAAAATTGGTAGTTGATTATGTTTATTTGCTCAATTATGTAATCAATAAAAACATTTTTGGTCTGCTTGTCTTCTTTGTAGATGCAAAGCAATCATAGATCAATATGGTCAGAGAATAATCTCTAAGCATTTCCTTGTGGAGGACAGTTACTTTTCTGAGAACACATGCTCGCACGTGCAATACAGGTAAGGCACCACATCACCCACTGTCCAAGGGAAGGTGAAACATAGAAAAGTTTAGCTTTGTGATTACATTGAAACTTCTGTATAACCATTGTTCAAGTAAGATGCAAATATATACCAAACAAAAGATAGTATTGAGTATGTTACCATTGTTCTCTTATAGGGTCTGGTTTGGGGGGAACTTAGCCTAATTTTGACTCCTTTGCATCAGCTGGGGTTTGTCTGCAGGTCACATATCCTTCCTTTCATGAGCCAAGAAAAGATTAAAGCAGAACTTGACTCTGTTTGGGGAGGTGACACTTTTATCGTGACTTAAATCTTTGAAATATGCCTTCTGGTGGTTATATAACTGTAAATGAAACTTATCCATGGAATCTGAATCACTGAATAACTGTTTTGTGCATTATAGGCAAATTTCCAGGGCAGTTCTAATTACAGATAGATCTGTACTACAAGCAGATTCAGATCAACAGGTAATTTTAGTCTTGTACTTTTTAATAACATGTTGCTAATTTAATCTACATGGTAATATGTATAAATTAATATTGGTGAAATAAAATGTAGTAAGCCATATGTGCTAATTTAAGACATTTTAAAATGTATAATGGCAATTATGTAATAATCTTGGTTTCTTAAAGATTTCCTTCTAACAATAAATAATTGTGCCTTGTATAACAGATTTATGCTAGGAAAATTGGATTAAATCCTAGTGTTCCAACAACTATTTCTTTGGAACTGAAAATACATAGTTATGAGAAGAAAAAGATAATCCCCAGAGAACACATTTTAGAATCTTGGAGGAAAAGACTTCATGATAACTAATGCTACGGTACCGGTGGTAAGCCCACCGCTAGGCCTGGTGTGAATGAGTATCAACACACATTTTCATTTCTGGTACTTCCTTATTGCCATTGTTTATTTCAGTACCCTCTTCAGCCTCCTCACCTCCAATTCTTTTGGAATGTCTCTATACCTGTGGTTTTCCCTCAGTCTGTTCACCTAAATTCCAGAGGTGTGCTCCCTTCTCCTGACCATATTTTATAGTGACTGATAAAAATCATCTTACTCAGCCCTAACCAGTTTGGCTCAGTGGATAGAACGTCGGCCTGCGGACTTAAAGGTCCCAGATTCGATCCCGGTCAAGGGCATGTACCTTGGTTGTGGGCACATCCCCAGTAGGAGGTGTGTAGGAGGCAGCTGATCGATGTTTCTCTCTCATCGATGTTTCTAGCTCTCTATCCCTCTCCCTTCCTCTCTGTAAAAAATCAATAAAATATATATTTTTTTAAAAATCAGCTTACTCAGTAAGTATGACTGTCAGACCTATTCTATATATTCACTACTAAAAATAGTTTCCTACAGTTCCTTAAGTTGGAAGCTTTCTGTTATATGAAACAAATATCTTTGTTATTGCATGAACCTCAGTTCTTTCATTTAATCATTTAGCAAGTAGTAGGTGCTTTTTACGTGCCAGCCAGTGTGCTGGGTTCTGAGGAAACAGTGCTAACCATGATAGCACC